CCTGCTGAAGTTTAATACTTGGAAACTTGCATCAAAAGGTGAATGTCTTTTAATAACACAGTTTCTTTGCAATGTCGTTTCCCCTTATCTGAAGCCCAGACTTCAAAGTCTGGCAACCACCTCCTGCAGTTGCAGGCCGCTGCTCATCTTCTCTAAAGCAAGCTGCTGCAAAGCTTTAATTCTACAGAGCTTATGAGCTTTGCAGGACTGCAAACAAATGTCAAGGGACTGGCTTTGGGAAAACCAAGCGTTTTTAGTGAACTGAAGCTGGATCATCAAAATTGGACCACATTTAATTACAGGGACTATGGAGGGCCTTTTTTTTTTTTTTCCCCTAGAACAGAATTCTTAAGATTTGCATGTATGTGAGTTCCTTCCCTCCTCCATCAGAAAACCTGACAGCTTCATGGAAGAATAATCATATGGTACTTTCTGATTGCAGCTTATTCATACGCGATCAAGCTATTAATGACTCTAGCCTTGCAACAGCCCCGCTAGCATCACTGCCTTCATTTTGCAAAGGGAAAACAAAAGCATAGCAGGTAGACAGGTTTATTCAGAGACAGGGAGCAAGTCATAGGTGGAGCCAGAGAAGAAAATCTTTTCTCCTTTCCCTCCTCTGCTTGGCTTTAACTAGATTTGGCCTGTTTTGCTGCAGGTGGCTTCTGATGTTAGGTGTTTTAAAGTAGCACGATCTGAATAATTGCAATCATTTTCCCAGACTGATCTGGGGAGGTTTGGGGGAAAAGAAGAGGTTTTAAAAATATGCCTACAGATGAGTCATGTTGGTTCTATAAAAGTCATCCTTGCAGGTGATAAGCACCTCCTCTGACAAGGCACTGCAGTAGGATTTTAAAACTACTTCAGGTCCACACATTCGAAAAGATGACTTCCAGAGCAAATTGCAGTGCAATGCTCTGCCCCAGCCCTTCCCTCCCTGGCTCCCTGCCTCTAAAGGCCAAAACAAGTATTAGAAAATAAATACTTACCATTCTGACATCTTTCTGACTGGTGTGCTGCAGGTAGGGAAGGGTTGCTAGCTCAGCCATCGCTTGATTAATCACTTGGGACTGTTCCTCGACTCTCTGCAAACGGCCGAGGAAGCTGGCGTAATGCAACTTCTCTATCCCACGTGAACATGCGCAGCGATTGTCCTGTTTTCTCAGCAAAAGCAAGTAGGTTAGAGGAGAGTCACAGAAAAACACACTCATCCTTTGAGTCTTACGTCTTGAGGCTTATCATCATATATATTTGTGCTGGTAATACTATAAGCAATATGGCATCCAGCACCTTTAAGATAATGCTGCTGTCAATCTTTATAGAGGGGAAAAAAAAAGACTTTCTTGCCATAATCCCTCTAGTAGTACTAGAAAAATAAATATGTTGTTGTAATATATGTGAAGGGGAGGCAGCAGATAACAAACCTGAACGCAGTTTTCTCATTTGGAAATGGCTTTTCCATAATCCCCTCTGTTAAATATTACCTGACATTTATGGATTGCTTTTAAAGTTTCAGTGAAGAGGTTGAGGAAACAGCGCAGTGTGTCAGCTTATGGCTTGTTTGCGTGCTAGGCAAATGCATAGTTTTCAAATATATAACCCTGAGGGACTAAAACTTGCAGAGGTGGTCTCTGATCCTCCAGGCAGCTACGCACATGACAAGTTTTAAACATGTGTATACAGAAACTCAGCCAAGCGCTTGCGTAAAATCTCAGCACCTGCTGAAGTGTCTGCTGGATGGCAGCCTTACCACCACATTTTTGAAAGTATTCTGATGCCAAAAATGCAAATAAGCACCCTACCGAGATTTTCAAAAGCAATTTGGCCCAGATACACGATGAGATGTAGCTATTGCATATTTGAATGCTCAGCCCTTCAGAGTGAAACTTCCATTCATTCATCTATTCAGGGTTTTAAATATATTTAGGTGCCTGAAATTCCAAGAATTGGCATCAATTTTCAAAACCACTTCCAGTATTTTTAGCAGACCTTTGTTCTGACAGTTACGTATGGTAGCACACTGATGCTGCCATTTACATAATGCTTCCAGATAGGTGGTTCTAGGTCCAATCATATATTGAATGGAGTGAAAGGAAAGTCTTGAATGACATTTATTTTTCAATAAATGGTGTCCAGTTTTTAAAATGAACATTTCTTGGCAAAGAATCTTCATCATTTGGTTTGATCTTGATCTTGCTTTGCAGAAATTTGTGTGGGGCAAACATCAAGTGTTAAAAAAGTAGCTAACAACATAGTTCTTGTATAAAGTATAAGAATTTAATAAGAATGCTGTTCTTGTTTTCCATAAATCTTACAAGAATAATAGTGCAAAAAAGCTTAGTTTTTTTTTTAATTCTAGAAAAATAAGAATAGTCCTGGTATAGTTAATTTTACCCCTTTTGATATAATACCTAATATAATTGTAAAATAGTATGAAATAAAAGACCATGCACTGGTGACCAATGGTATGAATGCAGTTATAATCTGGGAGCTCCAGATATGAAAGCAACTGAAAAAGAAATTGCTGAGCCAATGAACTGGTATTTCCATTAGCTGAAGGAGAGAAGTAGGCACTGCACAGGGAAAACAAACTCTGGTCAGCAGTTCTCTGGAGTATTGTAGATAGCTCCAGTCAGCTGTGTTTGGAGAGGTTAATTTAAACCCAAGCATCATAGAGCAGAGAAGCCAGCATGGTAGGAGATACCTCATTTGAGAGAAGTGTGGTTTGATTAGTCTGTTAATGAAAATGCCAAGAGCTTATTATTCTTCTCAATAAACATAATGCAGGGCTAAATTCCAAAGAGAGCAAACAACTGAAAAGGGAAGGAGAGATAAAAGACAATGATAACAGAAGGACCATTGTATATAAATAGGTACCAATAAGACTGGGATGGCAATTAAGCTTCTTATATTTCAGGTGGAAGGTCTGCAGTGTGTTTCACCAAGAGCAGAAAAGGCAGAAAGCCTAACTAGTTCTAAGACGGATTTTATTCAATCTATGCATAGGATATTAGGTGACACAGCAGTGTATGTGATTTGACTTGAGGAGCCAGGAGATCCCTTCCAGACTCACCTTCTCATGAACTTCTGTTAACCTACCTCTAAGAAAGGAGACCAGGACAACCTTCTTACAAACTATTGTTATCACTTGAAAACTCCTTTTCTGAAGCCCTGACCTAGTATTAGTAGGAGACATCAGTGAGAAAAAAAAATCCTGTGATCCCTGATATGTGAAATGGTTAAGCCTGAGACAATCTAGTTTGCATGGCACTAAAGCAGGGAACAAAATGGAACCCCATCTCCAGCTGATCACTCGTATTTGAGACCCAGATAGCTGTGTCCCCAGGTAGAGCTTTGTGCATTAAAATAAAGAGAAGCAAGCAATTAATGAGAGAGAAAGAGATCTCTTATATAAGTTGAATAGTGTCACAACATTAGATGCAGCAAAAGGTTTTTCCCTGCTATTCTTGAAATCCGCCCAAAAGCTTTTTGTGTAAGCACTAAGAAATGAGAATATTGAGTCATCAGCTAAGAAAGCAGGTAAAAATCCTCTCTCATCATGCTGTGTCTGCTGGGTGCTTCTCCAATGATTAAGAAAGTAAAGGCAAAGAGAAACATTTTTTTCTTTGCTTGACCCTCCAGAAAAAATATAAAAGCATGCCATGTAGCTATGGGAAACAAATTTGGCATCTGTGCCAACATGATCTCTGTGTTTATAGTAGGTTGAAAATAGCCAACAGTGGGTTTTTTTAAGGGATTAGAGGAGGTTGAACATTGTCAGAGGTGATGTTTTGGTGACAGTGAAAAATGTAGAAAGAGAAAGTAAATAACTGCTGCTGGCAAGAGAAAAAATTCCATGGGGACCTGAACCACATGATGAGAATTACATGAACTATAGCAGAATTCAAGTTGTAGTAACAAACACAATAAAGTGATCAAGCAATCAGATAAAGATGAAAACATCTCAGGTAGGCACAGTGAAGGTTAAGTAAAGACCAAATTTAAATGGAGAATCCAGTGGAAAGGAGCTGGCTCCTCTAACAAAGAGAAGAAATGCACGTTTGTGGAATCAGTTAGCATAGGAACCAACAAATGTAGTACATGGAGTCACAACTGCATCCTGTCTAGAAATGCAGTAACTTATTACTGCTGTTACTTTCTGGATGGATCTCACCTTTATTGTCTGGTATTCCAAGGAGAATTTAAAGAAGAAAGTAAAAATGAGCAATTGATGGATTTTCTCTTGATGACTTTATTCATACTGGGAGTCTTGGCTGAGGTGGGGTCCTCCCAAGAGAGTTTTTCCCAGCAAACTTTATGCTGCACAGATTCCCTTTATACTTAAAAAAAAAAGGGGAAAATGAAAAGGTGTTTATCCCCAGAGGTGTCTTTGAAGACCTGTGACATCCTCATTCTTTTGACCTTGGGATGAAAAAGCACCTACAAAAAGCAGATCGGCCTGTTCTGGATGGAGCTTACCTGCTGTTGCTAAATACGGAGCAATAACTAGGACAGGCTTTCATTGAAAAAAGGAGCTGGAGTACATGTGAGAGGAGAATTGAGAATTTTGGGATGATACCCCCACTTTTTGCTTTTCTCTATACTCAAGAAAGGATTCATCCTTTATGCCACTTCTGTTTATAAATAAAGTTTAATTACTGAGTACTAAAGAAAAAGAAAAACTAAGTGGCTGGTCAGTCTGGATTTAAAGCAGGGTCTGTCACATCCAATACATGTGACTATCAACTTTAAGAGCACCACTTTGCAGAAGTCCCCAGTAGTTTTTTTCTATTGTAGAGTCTTTACTACTATTTTTCAGCTCAAAATCTGAATAAAGTTACGCCTTGCAAGCAGCTCTGTAGTGTATTGCAGTAACAAGCAGAAAAAATCCATCATAATGTTTCTTTAATGCCTTTGGTATCCTCCAGAAAACATGTATGCTGAAATCTGTATGTAGTAAACACTCCCTCTACTTAAAAAATAGACATCAAAAAAGCGAGATCTGTAAATGTACGCATCATGCTGGGAAACATACAGTAGGTTTTGTTTACCTTTATAATATGAGCCCTCTGGCCGTTGTTTCTCCTGTTAAGTAGCATCATGTGCCATTGACATGGGACTGCGGCAGGAGAAAGGCAAACTTTGTGTGTATAAAGCAGCAGAAATTACCCCAGTGAAATCACTTGATAGAATAACCCCTTGTCAGTGCTGGTAATCTTGACTAGAATATGAGTAGCTGAAGTTCTGACTAATACATATCTATATACACATATATATTTAAGACAAATAAAATAACCTTTGTGTCATGGTACGTATTTCTGGATAGATGAGGTTTATGGCATTTCCTCATCATCATCAGGTGATGCTGCAAGGGGACCAGGCCGCTACATTCATTCTCAAATGCTTCCTGCTTTATGATATATAAATGCCTCCTTGATTTAAATGGGACTGGCTGTTCTTTATGATTAAGAGGGGCCAACAGAAAATGTTCTGTTTTTTTAACCTTTAACTTCATGTCTTACAAACAGTGGTGTGTGTATAAATCATATAATTAACTCTAGGTTGGGTAGCTGCAAAACTGAGGTGGCAGAATTGACTTACATTAAGTGTTGCCATGGTTTAATAAGCTTTGCTTTAGCACTGAGATGTTTTCACCAAAAAAAAATCTGACAAGGACAAGTATTTGGATTGTATGTTTGCATCCACAAATGAGGAAGAGGGCAGAAAGGAATGTTTTTTCTATTAAAAAACAAATACATTCTTTTATCTTCTTACAGTAGGTTGTAAAGCTAGAGTCTGTATCTGAAGGTTTTCTTGCAGAAGTTTTTAATTTAGTTTGTGTGTAACGGAAATAAGATGGAATCATATTTCTAGCTTGAAGAAAATGTTGGAATACTTTCAAGGAAGCAAAAGTAGCCAAATTTCTGTCAGGGCTATAAAGAGATTTTAATCACCAGTAGCAGAGCAGTCCTGGCTCCGTGCCTATCTGTATTAGCAGGCATAATTAGCTTTGTCATTTGCTCTTTGGGTCAGAGGTTCTGTCTTGCCTGGATCATTCAGCGTTATGGAAACCAAAGGGAAAGTGAATATGTTTCCACCAATAATGGATGTGGAATTGGCAGCTGTTTGTTCTAACTCAGTGATAATTTCTTCTATCTTGGGTCTCTCCTCCTCTACATTAAAGCTCCCACTGACCCCTTGGGTGCTAGTTATGAATCTCTAGGACTGAGGTTCAGACCTCTTATCCCATTCTTGCTGCTGCTGGAGGTGGCACTGGGATAGACCTGGCCTGAAACACATGAAAGTTGTGCTGACCTCCTTGAAAAAAAAGCATCTTTGCTGCTGACGTCAGTGGCGTTGGGAGCTCTCTTTTGTTTCAGCAACACTATTTAAATGTATGAGGTAAGGTCTAGAGCTGGTAGAAAATATTACTGTGTAGGAACAGTGTAAATTCATATAGCTAGTGGAGCCTGGCTTGAGCAATCCTAATACACCACTCTCACCTCTTACATGATGAGTTCCTTTTCCCTATACCCTGGATACCAGATACCATGTATCTCTGCTTGTACCATGTGATCCAGTTAGTCCAAATTCATTTACAGATCAGGATTGTTATGGGGAATCCAAAGACTATGAGATTTAATTTTTTTTTCCTCTCTTGATAGTTTTTAGAGACTAATTAACTGCAATAGAGGAATCTCGCCTCTGAAAGCTCTATGTTATACCCAAAGACAGTATTGTGTATACATATATTTTTAATTGGAGTTTTAGTGGGGCTTTCAGAAAGACTAGGGTTTTATCCTGTATCCAGTGCCCACCTGCTATCTTTTTATACTTCAAACTTCTGAAACATTCAAAGTGCAATGCACACAGCAGCGACAGGTATTTCACTTTCCGTAAGATGCCATTTCCGTTAGCCTGCACATCAATAACTTGGGCTTTTGGTCATCTGAAGCCAATAGCACATGGCTTCAGGAAAGAACTGGAAAGAAGTAGTTCTGTGTTTCCTTGGGGATGTCTTCCCTCAGCCTCCCCCACCTGCCTCACGCTGATGCAGATGCTTTATGAGCGCCCATTTTGGCGAAGCACTAAGCACCTTTACCTCCCACTAACCATGTAAGTTCAAGCACTTACTGCTGTTTCAGCAGCTGCTCTCCGAAAATAAAGGAGATATAGCTTCCCCAAATATCTAGCTAATGTTTCCTCCTTGCTAGGGGTTGCTAAGTAGCAGTTTTTGTCAACCTCCTATGTGGTATCAAAACCTAAGAATATAAATCCTGTGATTTGCTAAGACACCCCATACGAGGAAATGGCTCTGGTGCCTTCAACATACAGAAAACTAAAAACCTGTTATTGCTAGGGAAGAAGCGTTAACATTAGCATTTACAATCTGGGGAGGAGAGGCTTTTTCCACTTATTTTCAGGAGAATAATTTAAGTATTGCATTAAAACAGTCTAGTCTACATGCAAATTTGATTTTTGACCTTTTGTGCTAATCAAAAGCCATGGTGCTAAAAAGCTGTGTACATTATTGCAGAAAGTATGGAGTAGAATTAACTAATATACCTTCAATATGGTTGTAGCAGATTTGAAGGTTATTTCACGTACTTCACTACATAGGGATCAGGGTCTAAAGCACTAGAAATCCTTCAAGTAGCAATTATTAACTCTTGATGGAGATCCTAGTGATATGTGTAGTAAACTATGGGTATTAAATATAGCAAGTCATTTTGGTGGTTATGTGAAGTAGGCATATAATATAATAGGCCATAAAGATTTGAGAAAATTGCATGCAAAGTGATTTTAAATAAACTGGGTACATTCTTAAATGATTAGGGGTACTTTTTAGAAGTATCTAAACCTCATTCGAACTCTGTTCCTAATGCAATTCACTGAGCATTTCTGGACACAAGAGCAGCATGTGCAGAATGAATTACCCACCAAAAAGCACACATCATTCACACATGCACAGGCTTATGCTGCCATACACACTATACACCAGAAAGGGTATTTTATACTCACAGTTAATTTGGTGCTTCTTATAAAATCTATTACTGGCATGATCTTTTCCCCAGTGTAATCCCAGTATCTTTTTGTTTCTTCTTTGGTGAGAGGACAGAAAGGTACTTTCCGGTCTAGGAAATTAAATCAAAAAACCATACACTGTGTTTATCTATACACATTTTCCATAGAGGATCCAGCAGGAAGATGGGGAAACTGAAGGAGGAGAAAGGAGGATGGGGAGAGATTTCTGGACACCCAGGGCTGCCAGCACAGAGAAATGGGTCCTGCGAAACTCCTCACCCTCCCTCATTTAGCAAGGACCATGGAGGTCTCCCCTGAGCTGTCCCAGCTATTAAGCAAGTTGGCGTACCTGAAAAGATTGGCAGTTTTTTATTTGACCACCTTTCCAAGATTTTTCCAATATGTTTGTTTCTGAAACCCAGAGTCAGTGAGTACTTCTGAGGAGGCTCAGACAGCCACTCAGCTGTCTGTGGCAAGATGTGAAGTCCATGAGGATCTGGAATAGGGAAATGAAAATAACTTCCACTGTCACATTTCTTTTCAGTTGTAATTCAGTTACTTTTTTTTTTTCCCCCAGGAAAAGAAAGGAAGTCTAAGAATGAAATGTAATCCAAAAAGCTTGCCAAAACAAAGGTGATCAAGCCAGCACATCCAGCTATAACTGGGTTTTGAAATTCCAGATTTTGCAACCTTTTCCATTAACAGCTTAAATATTGCTGATGCACAAGAAAAAACATGTTCTTTCCATTTATGTACATTTCTATGCTGATAATCCAAAGCATTAATAACTCACCACTTCAGTAATGTAACATAGTGATCTTTTTACTGCAAAAGAAGCTGTTTTGTTTTTCCCTGAATTTTTGAGGTTTTACTTCCTACAGATTTGTTCTGTAACCATCACCTTCACTGTAATCCCAGGGTTCCTGCATGTCGTTTCTGACCCACCCAGCTGGCATGTTAACAGCATGTGCTGTGGCTTGCCCAGAGTTTGACTGCTGCTGCCAAAACCTCTGTGTATTAGCTGAGTTGGTATGCCCTGACCTCAACAAGGACAGATGCTCAGACCAACTGTATAAACCGCCTTTGCTTAGGGAACCAGACCAGTCCTTTCCTCCCTCCTCTTGCCCTGCAAAAAATAAACCTAGATTGAATGTCAGTGTCACTTTTCACAAAGGAGTGCTCTGTTTTCAGTGAGCTCTGCTTTTAAGATGCCAGGCTGCGTGGTCAGAGTGACAAATGGAGAACCCCACTCAGAGCTCTCTGAACTTACCCCTATATAAATCAAAGTGAGTGGACCTGATATTTCCCTTGCAGCATATTCTGCTTTTGATGGATTCGCAATTTTGCAACAAACTGCATTGTACACTTGGATTTAAATGTGTATCTGCTCCTTTTCCTTGGCAATAAGGAAAACTTTGAAATCAATTCAATCCTTACACTCTAGCAGAACTTGGACTAAAATTGGACAGATAATTGTTACAGAATAAGAAGATTATTTAAAATAACATGTTCGTGAGACGTCTGGTATTTCACACCCACTGTTAAAATGGGGTTTAGCTCATATTTTTAATTTCAGCTATTCGAGATACAGACCTGCAGGTTAAATGCTCAGCGGTACCACACTGACAATGAGCTAAACTTGTTGCTTTGTGATGGTTTTTTTTGGTGGGCAGTGTGATTTTAGGTCAGACCTGAATAGATGAGTTGAATAACCTTTCTGCTTCAGTGGACCTCACCTAGCACTGTTGTGAGTTAGCTCAGCATCATCTCGGAAAAGGAGCTGTGTCTGCTCTGTTTACAGGACAGAAAGGAGGGAGCTTGGGAGAGGTCCCATCTATGTGAGACATCTGAATACCACTGCACTTTCAAAACCCTGATATCCATGTTGGTTTTTCTTGGCATTCTACCCCATTTAATTCCTAGAAACTTCAGTGGTCCCAGAACCTGCAGTCAGAGAAACTTGTGTAGAATTGAAGCAATTCTTTTAACCAATAGATTTTTGTAAACAAACATATTCAAAGGCGGATCTGGCTCTATTCAATCTATTTTATAATTGACTATATGTTATAATTATAAAGTACCATAGGACTGAGATCTTTTACACCTCCCCCCTTTTTATAGTTTCTTCCTTTTCCTTACTGGGAGGAGTGAGAAAATGGCTGATGACACTTTCAGGGTAATTCAGTGATTTATAAGCATAAACTGAGTTTCAGCACAACACTTGCACACCTTGGTTGCACATGTGCTTCTGGAAGTGTCACTTTTTACTTGAGTCTCCTCAAGTAAATTGAGAGGTTATGTGAAACATGAATTAATTTTTTTTTAAATCAGATAGATGGAGTCTTATTTTATGCTCCTTTTAATGCCAATACTTTTGTCCCAGGAAGTTCTCCGCAAAGTCACATCAGCAAGTAAACAGTAGGCAGGGATTCTACAGACACCATGATAGGCAAGTCCTCATTTTCCCTGTTAAAACAACCCCAAGGCTACTGCCAGAAATCCAGTACATGCGTGGTCTGCAACTTGCAAGACACAATCTAGCTTTACACTGGTTTCCTTAAAGCAAAACAAAAATGAACAAAACGAGTTTACCTGTGTTCAATAGTTGCAGAGTTTTGTGGTAAACATTTGGTTTCCTAATTCCTATTTATGTTTTTCAAATAGGCTTTCTTTTCCTCCCCAAAGACACAGTGTGTGTCCTTTTGGAAGCCTTATGTATCTGCTGAGTGCTGGGGCTCAGCAGGGCTGCAAGGACAAAGCAGTCTGACCTGGGTCTAACTCTTGCTGGGAGTAGGCAGCACATCAGCCCTTTGGGTGACCCTGCTGGAAGTGGCAGTAAGAGGTGAGCTAGACATCTAGTTTGTGTGAGAAAGATAGGGGCTTTCCAGAATTTCACCTGAGACATTTACTTTTCCCTTTACATTTCTAAATCAAACTCAAGGTCAAGCGTTATCAGGGTCAGCTATGCTCCAAGTCACCAGGTTAATGACAGTAAGAAATGCCTTTTATCCCCCTGCCTCTCTTTTGCCAAAATGTAATGCCCATTCCTCCTGAAATAAGGCTGTGGTCACCAGAATTTAATCATCCGTTTACTTCAGGAGATGCTATTTGAGTTCACTCCTCCAGGAGATAAAAATGGACTCTGCAAAGGCCTTGTTCACTCTGAATTCTACTTGTCTTCAACAGGCTAAAGGAAACCTGGCTATCTATTCCCGTTACTGCAGCTGAGATGCTCTCAAAAGTGTCAGTCAGTCTATTAGTGCTCATAGAAGGGAGGATATTTTTGGAAAGTGAAGCCCTTGCTGCAGGGGTGACTGTCGGTAACAGATGGAAACCCAGAGAGATGGGAATGAGTTTGGGTCTCACTGTCATTGCAGTGCACTGCAAATCTACCTTTGAACAAAATATTAGTTACAATAATGAAATTCAACAATTCAAACATGGGGCTTTGTGGATAAAAATCATCTTTATGGGATTTGCAGTGTAAAGTCTGCACTTGGCCTAAGTACTGATTCGATTGCCTAAATCATGTGCAATCATAAAGCAAATTTTAGAAATTTATTCCTTCCCCTATCCCCCCGAAGTGTAGAAATGTTTGGAGCTCAATCTCCAGACTCTATCAAACTCTTTTTAAGTCAGCCACTCAAGCAATAGTATACAGCGCTTAAGGACATGTGAAATCTGCTGTTACCTGTATATATGTGCTCCACATAATCAGGGTGCTTTTTAGCAAACCTGGTCTTTAACTTGTTTTTTTCATCAGCCTTGATTTCTGTCCCAAGTGGTGTGTACATAACCGAAAAAGACACTTCTCTAGTGATGGCTTCTTCAATCATAGCCTAAAACAGGCAAAAAAATTATGTATTACATGTCAGTTAATGGCTAGTTAAAAAAAAAATAAAAAAACCCCGAACTTTCACAGATTATATTTTCCCTTTAATAATTTCATAGTCATGCAAAGATAACACATTTTGGTTGTGAATATTAATTAGAGGAGAATTTAAATTAGTTCCAGAAAACACTGCCTATCTATAGTCAGAAAATCAACTTAATGGAGAAAGAACATTTGTAAACAGTTTTCAGTGCAGCAAGTCTATGTCTTCAATGAGGAAAAAAGTATTAGATAAATTATCTTTTAGAGGAAAAGAAAAAGTGATTCCATGCCCTCTGAAGGTCACATCTTTCATCTGAGGGTTTTATTCAGTCCTTGGGAGTTGGTTAAACAATACTAAGCATTCATATTACCCCTTGGGTTGGCATGAATTGGACACTGTGCCTATATGGAATATTAGTCTTAATATATTGCATTTAAACACCATTTGCATTAAGCGTAAAATTCACTCCTGTGCAGAGGGCAACACAGAGCTTATGAACCTTGTCATCCCTTAAAAATGACTCAGATGACACATTGTGCTAGTCTTATGCAGAGGTGGATTTCACACTTAGTGGACCCCAATGAACTGGTGCTGGAACTGGCAGGAGCTACCAGCCTGGAAACAGCCTTGCTCAGTATTATTGATCAGTGCAAGGGAGGTTGAGCTGCAGCAAACCCTGGATTGGGTTTGGCTAAGACCAAATTCAGTGCTGCTTCAGCTGCATCTATTGCTAACAAAGATTTTGTCTCCTTGACATGGGCAGTCATTTCTGGAAACTCAGAGAACTGCAAGGTTTCATTAAGGTGTCTTGGCAATAGCATAAACATGGTTAATAGTGACAATACTAACACAAAGTTAATAGAGATGGTCAGAAAAGCATGAGAGGAAAAGATGCATTTTTTTTTTTAACAGGGTTTATGAATCTCCCAGGTCACTTTATACACTGATGTGATTCACAGAAGGTATCATTATGGGACTAGTTTGGTGTTTTATTGACAAGTCCTCCCTTTCATTCTCCAGTCTATCCTCCACCTATATAAAACTATCCAAGACACAGTGTGCCTCCGTGAGTCATTTGTTTAGCTGATGACTGCTCCCACCAACCCAGCATGGAAGGCTGAGTGTCAGTTAGTTAAGTATCTGTGTCCTCTCTTTAATGGCTTTAGACAACAGGTCCTCTAATATGGTCTTATGCCACTTCATTTCCATTCTGTTTATTGGTATGGGATGCGCAGAAATTCTATAGAATTGTTTTAAGCAGATATTGGGATAGGCTGCCATACATGCATCCTGAGTACACTTACACTGAATACTCTGCCTGGGTGTCAAGGGTGTCACTGGGGATTTGTTTATGTTTTAGATTACAGTATTTAGTTAGTTCATTGTCCTGCATTTACTGGAATGGAAGTAGTCTGGAGTAGCTCGTATTTAGTCCTGGAAAATTAAAAAACTTCAGATGTGTGCAATAGTATCATGGCCACCTGGGGCAGTAATAGCTTTCCCCCCCAGTGAGAAGGAGTTGCAGTTTTCCATGGGTACAGCTGTATTATCCATGGTTAATGCCACAGATCTGGAGGTATCAGACCAGAAAATAGGAAGTGTGTCCTCCTGCCAAAAACTTGGAGGTCCATGAATGGATCCTGTGCCCATTCCTTCTGGCGGAAATACATACCAGTCTGCACTGATTTATAGGAAAATTATTTTAGGATTTCATATTTCTATGGACTTTAATTATCTTGTCATCCAGGGCCCTTAGAGGTTCAGTAGCAAAACAATGGTACCAATCTAGCTTTTCAAGGTACATTTTTTTAAAAACGCAGAGGCCTACTTGTTCAAGTTTTGCTGAATTTCATACTTAAACATAGGCACAGAATTAGGTCAGCCTTATTCTGTGGGAGATATTGGGCATTCTGCTTATTTTCTATAGATTGGCAGTCATTTCCTAATCTGGACCAGGCAAGCTCTGTATTCTGCCTGAAAAGTTCTCTTTTGGCTTTATCATCCCGAAGAACAGTTCAAAGTCATGGCTATAATATCTCTGCATTGCCATGTACCCATGGCTGCTCTGCACAGCAGAGGGCAATAACGGTAAAATGTCAGCCACTGGGGAAAAGAACAGATCTGTAGTTTCTGGTCAATACTGCTACTGAAGGTATTATTATTACCCAAGAGCATTTTTTTTCCCCAAGCTGCTGACCCTGGACATAGATGCTATTTGTTTTATTATCCTCTTGGATTTTTATGGGGTAAAGTCTTTCAGGATATAAAACTTGAGCCCATAAAAACTTTGTAGGAGAAAACTTTATACGATGGAAACCCTAAGGATTTTTCTGCTTAAGCCTTTATGCACTGAAGTCCATACGCGTGGATGAATATCTGGCAATGTGTCCAGGAAACAGGAATGTGTATAGATTATCATCAGTCATGCTGTACACCATGCAGCTACTCAGGATACAGTCACACTGTGCAGAGGTTTGAAAGGGCTCCAATGGACTTTCAAGAGAATTCCTGCAGAGAGGACAACTGTGGGGCTTTTTTTTTCTTCCCCATTTGCACATGTTTTCGTGTCTTTTCATCTGAAGGGTCCTTTCTGCAGTGTCCTCTCAGATACATCAGGGAGGATGTTGCTCTTCTGGCCTTGGAGTGGAAGAAGTGTCAGGCTGTTTCATGAGTATGGGGGTAGCTGCTACACTGATAAAGATGATTAAGAAGATGATTTTTTTTTTCATATCTTGCAAGTGAGCTCTGCAATGATATCTCATCTCATCACTTGATGCTACATTCCAGCCTTCAATCCCAGAAGAGTTAGAAAAACTCTTGAAGTCCTTGAAATGACCTTTAACTATAAGAAAGACGTCCTCTAGCAATGTACGATAATGTAAGGATTATGGCTGACATGAGCCCACTGCATTTGGTGGTTTATCTTAGCAGTGGACAAAATCTATTGCTTCAGCAAAGATGTAAAAGTAGCTCAAGAAGAGGCTGCAGAGTAATCTGATGATAGAAAAGATTTCTTTTTGTAGTTATGGGACTGACTCATGCTTTGCTGTGTCAGGAGGTTTATATCCCTGTTTTGGAAGTGTGGGGTATCAGAGAAAGTCTTCAGAGAAACCATCTGGAGACAAAGTGTCTCAAGGAGTATTTATATTGCCAGCACTTATAATAAAATACCAAATAATTCCTTCATGAAACAGAAGCTTTCACAAGGTTTGAGGGATGTATATTGCTATCATGATAATTAAAAAGCCAAAAGACATTCTTAAACAAAAAATTTGTTTTGATCAAGGGTTTAAACATGTATTTGACCCAACACCACATAATCCTCTAAGCACCTTGGCCCTGCAATATCCTTACATTCTATCATATGTAGTAATGTTACATTTCACAGACATTTTAATAAAAATCAAACTTTAGCCTGAACAATCGTCCTGGGTTCAGCTACAGCAGTCATTGTTCCCCTTCCTAGCAGCTGGGGCAGGGCTGTGGTTTTGACTTTCAGCCTGGGAACAATGCTGATAACACCAATGTTTTTAGTTGTTGCTCAGTAATGTTTACTCCGACCAAGGGCTTTCTCAGTCTCATGCTCTGCCAGGGAGGAGGGGAAGCCAGGAGGAAGCAGAGGCAGGACACCTGACCCAAACTGGCCAAAGGGCTATTCCATACCACAGCACGTCATGCCCAGTATAGAAACTGGGGGGAGTTACCCGGAAGGCCCAGATCGCTGCTCGGGTCGGGCTGGGTATTGGTAGGCGGGTGGTGAGCGGTTGTGTCCTCCCCCCTTGTTATTTCCCTTATCATTATTATTGGTAGCAGTAGTGGTTTGTATTATACCTTAGTTACTGGAGAGCTGTTATCTCAACCTGTGGGAGTTACAATTCTTTTGATTCTCCTCCCCATCCCTCCACGAGTGCAGAGAGGAAGAACAGGGGGAGTAAGGGAGCGGCTGCGTGGTTCTGAGTTACTGGCTGGGCTTAAACCATGACAACAATCTTATATTGGCCCTTCACCACCCACTAAAATCCTGTTAAGAGCTCTCATAAAATGAATAGGTAGATGAACAAGAAACAAAGATTTCCCATGCCAACTTCTGATGGCAAATGATATAACTACTTCAATATTTTTATGAAGCTCTTGCCATTTTGTGGGCTTAGAGCAGACATAGAAGAAGAAATATGGCACTGTAGCAAAAAATTCTTCATAGCAGTGACAGTAGCTTTCCCTGCTACAGTCCCTAACCTTAATCCTCTTTAACTACAGAAAGGTTTAATTTGGAAAATCCAATTATCTTGACATCTAGAATTAGCCAAAAATTTAGATATCTTTCTAGTGCCTTATCTTGCAGCTGCAGTGCATGCTCAGCCACTGTCTC